GATCTTGGATACCAGCCTGATATGTCATTTGCAAGTATCTTCTCCCATTCTGTAGGTTGCCTTTTAGTTTTGACTGTTCAGAGGCTTTTTATCTTGATGATATCCCAATTGTTCATTTTTGCTTTTGCTTCCCTTGCCTTTGGAGACAGGTCTAGCAAGAAGTTGCTGCAGTTGAGGTCAAAGAGGCTGCTGCCTGTGTTTTCCTGTAGGATTTTGATGGATTTACTTATTTTAGAGGAAGAGTACCAGTGGGAGGAGCAGAGGGAGAGGAAGAGAGAATCTCAAGCAGACTCCATACTGAGCCTGGAGCCTGACACAGAGCTTGATCTCATGATCCTGAGATCATGACTTAAGCTAAAACCAAGAGTCAGACGCTTAACCCAACTGGACACCAAGGCACCCATGGTATTTCTTGTCTGAATCTTTCATGTGACATTTAAACACAAAAATAGCTCTGATATATTGAGTGCCAGATAGTGTGCCAGTCATTTGGTAGTACTATGTATATACTATATGTATTACTATGTTTTAACAAGTGTGCTGATGAAGAGATTGAATCAAAGAACCCAATGTCACAAGCCCAACAATTGGTAGAACCAGAATTTTAGATCAAATCTGTTCGATTTTATTTTCTAAGACAGCATGGACTTGAGGAAACTGTTTCAGAAGTCCAAATCAGATGAGTGATACTCAGCTTGAAAACTATAAGTGGGAATTAATTAAGCATTCCCCTATAACTCTACTTACCAATGGCATGAAATACTTTGTAATATATACTTTGACTAGGTTTGGGATAATAGCAGTGAAGAGAACTGACAATATCTCAACCTTCCTGAGATTTTATTCTTATATGGGAAATAAGATGGTTTCAAAAAGCCGTAAGTGTCAGGAAGCTGGAAAAATAGTAAATGGTAAAGTAATGGAGATTATGGATTCCTAATATTACAGCTGAGAAGCTGACACCTAAATGATTAGTAAGATCCAGTCATGAAATTTTCTAAAAATTATCTGAAATTATCTAAAAGAACTTTACTAGAAGAGGGCACAGCAGGTGCAAATGCCCTGAGATAAGAATAAGGTTGGAGGATTTGAGAAACAAACAAAAGGTCTGTGTGCCTGGAGAATTCTGTGTGAAAGTAGGCTTATATGGCATGAAGTCTGAAAGGATGCCTGGGCCAGATTATAGAGGTCATCCCAAGCACCCTGGAGTTTAGCCTAAACTCAACAGGAAGCCATTAGAAAGCTTTAAGCAGAAGGTGATGTGGTAATATGTGTGATTAAAAAAAAAAAAGTTTCTGGAAATGGGTCAAGAATGAAGTAAGAGGTAACGGACAAGAGTAACCACAGGTATATCCATGAAGAAGTGACTTTCACAGTCCAGGTAAGAAATGAGGGTAGCGAGGGCCAAAATGGGGATGGGAAAAGCATATGAATTTGGGACTTAATGGAAAGGTATCACATCAACAAGACTTCTCAATGGATTGGATGTAGGGGGTAAAGAATAGTAAGAAATTCTGAAGGACTCTAAGTCATATGGGTTGGAGCCAAATAAGCTTGAATTCGAATCCCAGCTATGACATAGATTAGCTCTGATACATTTATCAAGCAATTTGCCTTCTCTTAGCTTCATTCTCCTACCTGTAAATGGAGACAATACCCACCTTCAAGATATAATAAACGAATTGAGTTAAATAGTACTAAAAATGTTTAACATAGTGTCAATACATAGTAAACACTCACTAAAGGTAGATATTAGTATTAAAACTATGTTTACTTCACAATGAAAATAATTGCAGTTTTTGTTGGAGTCATGATTATCTCAAACCAGTTCCATTGTCTCAATTCTGTCAAAAATAAACAAAAAACAACATAAATGTTTTTTTTTTTTTCCAGAGATGCAATATCATCCACCAAATATTTAGTGGTCACTAAGTACACACAAGACCTGTAGAAGGTACGAGAAATCTAAAAATAAGCAAAGGATAGTCCCGATTTCAGAGATCTCAAAGGCAAGCAGGGGAAACATGCAGTTAAAGTCACCGTGCTATGAGTTAAATATAGCAATATAGACATGTACATACTCTTATGGCAGCATATGTATGGGCAAGAGAGCATGTATCTCTGGGTAAGGAGAGGAATGTTAGAGAAAGAAATAGAGAAGAGTGTTCCTCGGTCATCCCATAGAAAGAGGAGTAAAAAAAAGGGAAGAAGGACATTCTAAATTGAAGAAACAGCCTCAGTAAAGAGAGTATGGAGGAAAAATGCTAGGTGTGTTTCCTGGGCGGAGGGCAGTTCACATACCTGTGCAGAGGGTAGATCAGAGAGGGCGGGAGGGTGAGAGATGGGATAGTAAGGTCAGGGCCCCTGCTCTGCCCACGTCAAAGGCAGGCTGAAGCAAGATTTGTGCAGAGCTTTGAAGGCCATGCCCAGGAGTTAGTTGCTCTCACTGACAGCACAGAGCCAGAATTATCAGAAAGTTTGAGGCATGACCAAGTTTGTTTTTTGTTTGTTTGTTTTTGTTTTTTTGGTTTTTTGTTGTTTTGTTTTTAGATTTATTTATTTATTGAGAGACACAGAGGGAGAGGGAGAGAGGCAGAGACACAGGCAGAGGGAGAAGCAGGCTCCATGCAGGGAGCCTGATGTGGGACTTGATGCTGGGTCTCCAGGATCACGCCCTGGGCCGAAGGCAGGTGTTAAACTGCTGAGCCACCCAGGGGTCCCCAAGTTTATGTTTTAAAACTATTACCCACCCCCAAAAAAAATCAAATAAAGCTATTACCCTTTGGGCTTTTGAAGTTTAAATCAGAGTAAGAGCTGCTAGAGGAGTAAAATTAGAGACTGTGGGGGTCCCCCTGCCCCCGTTTTTGTGATGGAGGTAAAAACGGTACACGCTTGGTGATTATTAAGCATATAGAGTGTCTGTTATGCTTTTCTCCTGCCCCCCCCCCCCATAGCCAGTCATGGGGTAAGTCAAGGTCAGAAAAACAAGTCAGAGACATAAACCAATCCCACAGTTCCTGATTCTCAGTTCTGCTCTTATGCAACTAAATAATGTGAAAATGTGCCTGGATGCTGCCCGATAGAGGGAAGGTTCCATTTTTATATGTAAAAACTACCTTTATATGCACAAAATAAATTATAAGAGCTGTGCCACTTTAATCAATCTGTATTGCTAGAACTAGGCTCTATAGCTATTAAAAGACTTCTACTTCCTGAGACTTCCTCTTGCCATGCAGCTTAGTCACGCCTCCTTGAGCACATGGAGGCATGAATAAACTTTAAAAGAGAAAGAGGAAGATGCCTTCCCGGCTTTTGTAAACACAGCAGCTGATGTGTTTGCCCTGAAGGGAGAAATCTGCCACTTTGTAAGTTAAGCCTGAGCGAATTGCAGGGCTTCTAGACAGATACTCAGGAAATAGGAAAGCAAAGTTTTAAAACAAAATCATTACCCTCCTTCCAGACCACAGGATATAGGGTAAGTGGCTATTTGGGAAGAAGGTCTAAACCGTTCAGGCAGAATGTATATGCCTTTCTTGATCACCTAAATCTAGGGAAGTAGCTTCCTACAAAGACCTGTTTTTAAAGTAAGGGATCCTAGGTAAAGTGATTAAAGTGCCTCCTCCAAGGTCAAACAGTTACTAAGTTGAAGGCCTGTAATTGCAGCTCTGGACTCATGATGGCACACACCCGGGATTTTTCTAGAGGCCTCTCCACCTGCAGTGAAAGCAGGGGAGGTAACTGGACGTGCTCTCAGCCAGTCTCCTGACTGCGTCCCAAGAAGTCTGTCTTTCCCGTGGATTTGCCCCCTTGCTTCCTGCTATTGAGAAATGCATTCTGTGTAATCATAAACTAAATGTCCTATTAATTCACCCATCCCTTCATTCAGGAAATACCTATGGGGACGCCTGGGTGGCTCAGCGGTTGAGCATCTGCCTTTGGCTCAGGGCCTGATCCCGGGATCCTGAGATCAAGTCTCGTATCCACCTTCCTGCTTGGAGCCTGCTTCTCCCTCTGCCTGTGTCTCTGCCTCTCTCTCTGTGTTTCTCATGAATAAACAATCTTTTTTTTTTTTTTAATAAAAAAAGCATCTATGAGATAAAGTTGTGTGACAAAATTCCCAATAAGTTCATAATTGAAAGACAAAGTAGGAAAGAAAGATACAAAAAACTGTAATTACCAGAGAGTATGGAAAGTACCTTAATTATTTTTTAAAGAACAGGTGAATCACAGATGAGATGGAATGATTAAAACTTCTTCTTTCCCTTCAAATCACTGAAAATATACTGCTTAAGGTTTTGTTAAGTCCTTAAGAAAAATCAGGTGCTGGACACTTCCAAAGAACCATTTTCTAATCTTGACAGTGAAATGAAATGTAAATTACATGATGAGATGGGGGCTCCCCCCAACACACCGGCCAATCTGCCAAAATTTGAAATTCTTATAATTTTAATCATTAAACATATTAGACAACAAAAGCAGGAACATTATTATTTTTTAAATAGGCTTCATGCCCACTGTGGGGCTCAAACTGAAGACCCTGAGATCAGGAGTCACACTCTCTACCAGCTGAGCCAGCCAGGCACCCAGGAGCAGGAACATTATTTTTAAGAAGTGAATCCCAGTTAAAATTGTATTAATTCACTAAGAGGATTCATTCATTTAGATTAACTTGTTGATAGACCAGACCCTTAGACAAGGATAATGGAAAAGGTGACCTCTGTGAGCTTTGAGATTCTAAGTAGATTCATCTTCAACACTCACCCCCCTAATGTCTTTAAAAGGAGCTCTTAGGAAGCAAGACAAAGGATCTTGAAATGAATGGTTTCTAGAGATAATGCCCTCTCAGGAGATAGAAAAAAAAAACAAAAAAACCCAAAAACCAAAAAACAACCATTTTTCTCAAACTACACAAAGACAAAAGGCCAATAAAAGAAACTACTTAAATTTAAAAATCCACTTGCCTCCTAAAAACAAGGTAATTAAATGTCATTTCAAATTTTATACAAAAAAAATTGCTCTGGCCTGTTATCAAAAAACCTGGACGTTATGAATAAGTCACTATTTACCTGCGAAAGAGACGTTAGCATGGTCTTTCAAGTTGTTTTCAATGTTTTCTACTTCTGGCTTTTTCCCTTTAGAATAAAAGCAACAAAGAATATTTTATAAGCCAAAGAAAAAGATTTTTGGTTTGATGTAATATACTAAATAATATATTTAGATGTATGAGCTATATCTCAAATGAATTTAAAAGGATCATTATAATGCTTTTTTTTCTGAAAATCCTGGATGTTTGTTATTTTTGTATATGCCACCGTCTTCAAAGCTCGCAATAATTTAAAACCTCTGCCTTTCGAGTTGAATAACAAAAGCAGGATGATTTATACTTCATTTAAAATTAATCTGTGGCCATTGATATTAAAAGTAGTGTGGTCAGGACCTCTTCTCCAGTTTGGGGACGAGGATTGTTCCAGGCTTCCCATGAGTGTATCTCTGCTGAGCAGAGCCTGAGGCTCCCCCTGAGGGAGGAAACACACTGGAATCTACAGCACCTGCACCTGGTGACTAGACATCAGACAGAGACTAACAGATCGAAATCAGCTAGCACTGTCTGAGATTTATAAAAAAAAAAGTCCAAGGTCAAGGTTGTTACCTTTTCAGTGCTTCTAACTCATTCTGATGAGCTCTCTGTGATGCTGTACTTCCAAGGCCCTGTTCACGCCTGTCTTGTCTGATGGACCCATTAGTTTAATTACGGACTGTCTGCCTTAGAACGCGCAGACCTTAGTATTATCAAATACATTTCACAAAGTTTGCCTCATAAGCCATCTGCATCAGAATCACCTGAGATCCTTATTAAAAATGCAGATTATGACAGAACTCCAGTCTGAATATGGAGCCGAGACATCTTTATTTTTTGATTATTGTTTAAAAGATTTTATTTATTTGTTCATGAGAGACATACACAGAGAGGAAGAGACACAGGCAGAGGGAGGAGAAACAGGATCTTGCAGGGAGCCCAATGTGGGACTCAATCCGGGGACCCTAGGATCACGCCTTGAGCCAAAGTCAGACGCTCAACCACTGAGCCACTCAGGCGTCTCCATCTTTATTTTAAACCAGTACCTCAAGTGATATTTTCCAAGCTAAAGCTGGGGAACCAGTGACTTATGAAAATTTCTTATTCTAGAACTTGGTATCATGCCTTTATTCACACAATGGGGCCAATACTTAAATGAGCTCTCAGCTTACTGATGAGTCTTTCTACTCCCCCCCTCTTTTTTTTTTAAGACTTTATTTATTTATTTGAGAGAGAGGGTCAGGGGAGGGGCCGAGGGAAAGGAAGAGAGAATCTGAAGCAGGTTCCACTCTCAGCGCAGATCCCTATGTGAGGCTCCATCTCAGGCTCTTGAGATCATGACCTGAGCCGAAATCAAGAATTATATGCTTAACTGACTAAGCCACCGAGGCATCCCTCTATTTTCCTTTTTAAGATGCAGAAATGACATAACAGGCGTTAAAGTGATGCAAACCTAAGTTCAACTTGCCTCAGTCTCCTCACGTAGAGAAGAAAAAATTCAGTGGTACCTCATGTGACCGGTTACCATCTGTCTACTCTAGAATAGAAACTCCATGAAAGAAGGGTCCTATAGTGTCTATAGCGCTCTGTAATCTCAGCACTCTGGACAGCAACAGCACACGGTCATTGTTCAAGAATATATTGATTATGGGTTTAATATAGGAGTTACTTTGACAAAAGGTATATACAAAACAGTAATGTCACCTACAAAGTAAACTAAGCTGTTCTGACTGTTCTTTTTATTACTATTATGACCTTAAAATACGGGAATGTTCAAAATAAGAGAAAATCGTAATAGAACAGATGTGGACTATGGTTTCCATAGGAAGAAAAATAAAGTAATACTAACTTTCTTCAATAATGCATATATCATTTTAGCAAGGTAGAAACCCATGATTCTGATTCAGAGAAAAAAAAACTGTCTTATAGAAGAAATCATGCAATCAGACTTTGACTTTTCTTAGAGTACTTAGAAAAGCATACATGGAATTGAGAAATCCTTTTTTTTTTTTTTAAGAATTGCTTAAGTATAGATTTATAACTCCACTGAATGAAAATCAGAGTGGTCCCAATTAGCATTTTGTTAATAATTTAGTATGTCTTTAAAGAGGGAAAAAAGTATTTATACCCTTTCCAGATAAGTGAACTTGACTATGAAAATAATCATATACCTGTACTGCAATTCTTAAATAGATCCTAATGGTGGTCCTGAAAAACAGCAATGATGTTTCACTTAAAGTTACCTCGAGGCCAACCTAATCTACTGCTACCTATTATCAGCATTTCATTATACACTTCTGATATGTTTCTGTCCAAACATCACTTCATTAGAGGAACAATTTCTGGCTTCCTCATATGAAATAGTAACTCATCTCTCACTCTTTTCACTGATTACTTTTCTTTATTTTTCTTCATGGCAATTGAGCACCATTCAGAATACTATTCTCTTCTCTTCATGAACTGTCTCCTCAACATAATATAAACAGAAGACCTCAGTCAGTGGACCATGTAGGCCACAGACTGTCCATAATTAAGGAATGTTGTTTAAAAAAAAAAAGCCAAAATTTGGGCCTAAGACAGTGTTGGACATTGAACAACCAATAGTGAGGCTGTCTCCAGAAGGATGTTAATAAGCACCGAGAACCGCATGAAAAGAATCTATTTGAATATCAGAGGCTAAGTAGATTTCCTAAAGCATGTTCTATGAAATAATTTAGTTATGAAATAGATAAAAAACAGGTAAATTAGCAAAATAAAACAAGGAAATGTTTCTCCAAAACGTACCTTTTGAGGTTCAGACATCAAAAACTATAAGAAATCTTGGAGCAATAAAATCTTGCTTGACTTACTCATGTTTCCCACATTCTTTTTTTCCTCAAGGATTATTCCCTCTTCCCCACATCACATGCATTAACAGTGAGCTTGAAATAAGTGATCAAAGACAATCAACAATGCAATGGGTTTAGCCATTTGGAGAAGGAATTAATCATCTAAGAGAACTCCAACGAAAACTCCTTTGGTCTCCCACAAACTCAAGTTAGGGAGATGTGATTCTGTCCTGGGATATTCATTTGTCTCATAGAATTCAATAGATACTTCATCTTGCTGGGTCTGAGTTTGGGTTCCAGAAAGGGGCGTATAATAGTAACACTCCCATATGTATTATTTCTTTATTCCTACATGATTCATTGAAAGACTAAAGTCACAATGTTAACACTGAACCCAAATGCACGGTGGGCTCCCTGAAGGAATGGTGTTTATTTCATTGGTATGTAAAACAGATCATTTTGATTCATGTTTAATCTAAAACCTGAGTGAAACCTGGGAAATCAAATAACATTTTTCCCCCAGTAAGTATCTGTCCAAAGGGCATTTTCACAAATATCAAATTTAAATGACCTCTCTTTGGCTAGGTCCTGAAACTGAGAAAAGGGAAGATTAGTATTCGAGGAGAGACCTGAGTCTGGGCCAGTAAATCTCTGCTGTGTCCCTTCCCAGGTCCTTACCATCAACCTTGATGGGTCTTTGAAGTCAGAGCGGGGATGGAAATGGTGCCGTGTTGGAAGCAGCAGCAACATGAGCTCCAGATGTGCTGACAGGTGGCCTCCAGGAAGGCTTCACTATAAGGGCAATTAATATGGATGTGACCTTCATCCTGAAATGAGCCAAAGAGACTTTTTGATATTTTCCACGTGTCAGGTCTGAGACTATTTCACAGCAGTCAGGATGAGATAGAACAAGCCTGTTAAGGCTCCCAGGATTCAAATTTGCGGAGTGTGTTTAGAAGAAAGAACATTTATCATGGAGGGTCCAAACTATTTTTAAGTTTTTTGCCCTCCATAAATAACAAAACTGTATCTTAGAAGCCTCTATTTCCCCCCCTAGGTCACACCACACACACACACACACACACACACACACACACACACACACACACCCCTCTATAGATCTACAGATACACACACATACACATAGATGTACATTTTACACTCTCATAATATAATACATAAATGGAATATAAATTCCATTTGGAGTTATGTAACATTGCATCATTCTTCACATCATGGAGTTCACATAGAACATACTTATCAATTTCTCATGTGAAATACCCAATTATATTTTGAATTTTAACTCACCCCTCAAAAAAATTTTCCCTTCTTTTACTTCAGAATGAGTTAAGTGGTATAATCTCTGGGTTTCCAAAGCATCTTAAAACATCTATGTCTCTTGGAACATTTATTGTATTACACTGAAATATGATTAAGCATCTTATGATCTGAAGATTTCTCAAAGGGCAAGAACCTAGTCGTATATTTTCAGAACCAAACGCAGGGTCTGACTCACACTATATTACCAATGCTGTTTATAGAATTTATCCATATCTGAGCCTGTGTACACAGTTAAATAGCAATTTCTCCAGACAAGTTGGTTGAATGCCTGAGAGAAGACAGGCACATGAAAATATAATGGGTCAATGTACTAACTGTAATTCTGTGTGTATGAGAGACATTTCTTAAACCCACATTTGATATTTTCAAATAGAGGCGATCATCTAATCAAGTATGTTTAAATAGAATAAACATAGCTGATAATTGTGGTGCTAAATTCCTCTCAAATTTTTATTTCATGGTAGAGGGCCTATAATTTTTTTAATCAAATAATTTAATTTTAGTTTGAATTAGGTATTCTTTGGTCAAACATTGAAGATAATAGGATAAAAAATATTCCTCCCATTGTTTTGAACATAATATCTCAATCAAGGATGCTTGATCTCACTAAATAACTATGATGTTTACAAATGGTTTGTATTTGGCTTGCAACCATCTTTTAGCATTATGTATTCCTCTTATCTTGAAACACCTACTCTCTCTGGAATAATCACAAGCAAAGAAGGGCATTCCTTTTAAGAAGTGAGATCATGGGATAATGGCAGCTGTCATTTGGATTATGAGTTTCTATCAAAGTACTTTTATTTCCCATTATTGTCACACTTTAAACACCTATTTGGCTTTAGCCCCTACAGGGACTGATTGAACTGTCACAAGGTTAAAAATGTGCACATACATAGCTGAGGCCATTTCTAACCTCATATACTATTTTAAGCTTGTCTGACATTTTCTGAGAGCATACTATCTAATACTCCATCTGGAGTTTCTCACCATCATCTGAAATATTTACTTTCAGAACCTTAGTATAATGGGTAAACTTGACCAACTTCATATCTACTTTGTCTTCCAAATTATTAATAAAGCTAGCACATAAACCATCTGTACCTCTAATCCACTGTTGTTAAATAGTTGGAGGCTGATTCTATTTTCCAAAGTTGTTTCCACTGCCCCTCATGCTGGTGTTTACTATATTTCTAAGTGCAGTCTCATTTTAAGTCCATTGTTTATCACTCATTATAAGAAGATGACCCATCCACCTCCCCAAGGAAATAGCGCTCCACTGTTGAAACAAACTTACCCTTTCATAATCAGAGTGAAAACTGCTTTCATCAACTACTCAATGTCACACATCACAGAATTAAGTGAATGCTTCCATTCTCCTTTCTAGGCGTCAAACAAGGTATTCAAAGCAGTAATTTATTTATGAGAACAGGAAAATGGTTCCCCATACTATCTTCCCAATTTGTTTCTGAAGTAGGTAATTCTTCAATAATTAAGCTCATCCCTTATTATTCTCAATGTGAAATGATTTGCACCCTATTGTTACTTGATTTACAACCTTTGCCTTTCAACTACAGTGAGAATTAACCACATTTTATGAGTTTCTTCTCTCCTTTTTGAGAGAAACACACACACACATACACACACACACACACAAAATAGCAAAGGACAAGCTTCAACAAAGATATGTCATACATAACCAGAAATAGTGTTACTTTTCTCAAGACGGTGACTACAGGTCAAAAATTAAACTGTTGGGTGTTTTTCTTGAAAAGCATCTTTGTCATTTCCTTTGTTTATTAGAACAATGTGCTTAGAAGCAAATAAGGAATGCAATCGAAAGACTGGAGTTTGAATATTCTTTTTCTTTGGCTTTTGGAAAGCCCAGCTAATTCTTAAATTTAATTTCTTTATCTGTAGTGTAGAAGACGGTGACTGACCTGTTTACCTTGATAGGCCATTATAAGACTCAAATCAGATAATATATGAAGGAACTAACTGTATAAGATATAGAGCAGAATACAAAAGTCATGAAATACTTTCAGTCTTCCCAGACAATTAATAATTTTAAAGAAAAGTTAAAATTAAGACAATATCATGATTTTTTAAATAAGCTTGTGAGAGCACATATTTTTTAAAATTCCTGAATGTTAAAAGATAATATTAAAAACCAAGCCAAAAAAAATAAAAAAAAAAAAAGCCCAGCACACTTAAGCTGGAGTGTTGTTTAAGAGGTGTGGTTATAGCAAAACTGTACTTCTCTTTAATGGAAATAAACATCAAGTAATAAAAAATGAGAAAGGCACAGGCGGCAAGTAATTTCCCCACAAAATAGAATCAAATTATTCTTCTTAATAAGACTATGTATAATGGTGGTCATCCACTAGAAGGGGTAAGAGAGCCAAAGAATAAACTAGAAATTTGAATGGGAGTCCTTAAAAATCTAGAATTGATGTGTCTTTATGTCTTTGGCTTCAAAGCAGTTAGAAAAATAGAGAATTAAGTTACAAGTAATATCAATAAACTTTGCTTAAAGACAAACAGCCCAATGCAGTCGCTGAGCAATTGAATAAATTGTTTCAAAGAGAATTGCTGTGAGAGAGAGAGAGAGAGAGAGAGAGAGAGAGAGAGAGAGAGAAGCTGTGAACTAGGTTACTAGAAGCTGACCATGGTTGAAAGGAAGAATTGATATATTTAAGAACAGCAAAGCTTATTGAAGGACATCTTAGATAGTCAGGCCATGGTGATAATTCTGTTAATCTCTTTCTCAATCCTTTCCCTTTCCCTAATTTGCTAAGAATATAGGTAATAATAAAAAAATTAAAAAAAAGAATATAGGTAATACAAGAACTGAGGTCTAGTTAAATTCCCACTAGTAAACTAAGTTTGTGACCTTAGACAGGACCATGAATTGGGACACTGTTACACAATCTGTAAAATGGGAAAGTCAAAGTGGGGATTGGGATTTTTCCAAATTTTAATTATATATTTGAAAAATCCTTTTTCTCGGAAGTGTTCTTTGTGTATGTGCGAAAGCTCATTTGTATTGCTTTACTTGTTTTCAGGATAGGAATTGAGACTTAATGCTCTCGTGCTTAGTCACCAATGACTAATATGGATTATGCTCCACTCTGTGTCCTACATGGCTTCTCACAGTAATCTTTTCCCCCTCTGTCTGCTTTTGAACATTCATTTCTGTATTAAGAGGTTTCTTTCATGTATTAAGGTTCTGAAAGGCTCACCAGCCTAGAAATCTTTGAAGTGAAGAGTGACTTGAGATTTTAAAAAGCTAGGATAGTTGTGTCCAATAATTACCTCCATGAAAATAATGGTATGGATATTTGAATGCTCATGATCGACAGACATAACAGGGCGTGGGAGGGAGGGGAAGGAAAGAGGACATCCTCCAATGGTCTTCTCAAGCAGGCAACACTTTGACTCCCAGACCAGATATTTCTGAAATTCTTGGTTCATAATGAAAACAGATTAACACCAGTGTCCTAGAAAAATGAGTCCTACAATGATCCCAGTAGCAACTTTGGCTCTAAGGGAAGATGTGATAGCTGTAAGGAACAGATTCTCAGCCTTACACCATATTATCCATCTATAACAGGCAAAAATGCTGGCATGATATATGGCCAAATTGAAAAATAAAGAAAACATGGGCACTCACCATTATAGCATTATCGCACTGTGTGCCTAAAATATAATAGGGCATTTCTTTCATTACTGATATTACTATTTTACAAAGGGCAAGCAGGCTCAGAAAGGCTTAGTAACCTCTCCAAAGTCATGCGACTAGAAAGAAATAAAATAAAGATTTAATGCCAGATTTATCCGAGCACAGGAATTATATGTCCAGGATTTTTTTTCAGGTACCATAAAGGATAAAAGAAGCAGTGGTAGCTAACAGAATTGAGCACTTTACTACTTTCCAGGCACCAGTCTAAGAATTGGTGCCTCATTTATTCTTTCACAAGATTTTTAGATAGATATTATTATAATTCAACATTTAAGTTTTAAAATGGACATAGAATTTAATTAACTTGCTCACTGTTGCCCATCTAGTAAATGGCAAAAACCTGGGGATGAATGCTATAATTTTGACCTCAAAGCCAATATTTTTAGTTACTATTCTTAATATACAGTGTTTGAACTCAAAAAGATTTGATTCTATTTGGAACCTGAGTTCCATACTCTTAGCACTCAATGAATTCATTCAATGAATCTTTATTAAGTCCTGACTATATGATACCCTATAAGAAACTTGGAATCCCCCCCCCCCAAAAAAAAAAGTAAACCAATGTGTCTGCCTTTGGGAATTGATAACAGTACCAGGAGCCAAAAACCAAACCCAATCACAGGAGGCTATTTAAACATACATGATCACACATGATAAAAATCACAAATCCTAGCCTAGGTAGAAATAGGAAAGCAATAGAATACTAAAAGCAAGATGAAAATGATGGTAGTGTTTATTTCAGAT